TACCCATCAGTGTTTGATTCCATAAATATGGCTAGCGATGGTAGTACCGTTTAATGACGTTAGTGCAGCTCTGATTAATTCCTATGTGGCGGCATTGCATTCGGCGTTCATCGACGGACTTCACCGATTGATGGACGCACTGCAGTCACTAATTCAGGTTAACTGGTGCACTGGTTAACATCATTTGTAGCATTTCACAGAGACTGGACAGACGAAACACTAGAGGTGGGCACTAAAGTCCGACCGAGATTGGACGGGCCCTTCTCCGCGCGGGGCGAGCGTTGCTGCGGATGGCGGAACGACTGCTCTGGCAGTTGAAGCGAGAGTGATTTACGCTCGCACGCTCGTTTGCTAGCAGTGTTTACATTTATAATCGGGCGAAACGTAAATAGATGGAAGGCGTGGCGATTTAACTGACGAGAAAATCAACTATATTTTATCAGCCCCAAGACCAGCACGAATAGAAAATACACAATATGCAACTGAAGGTCACTGCAATTTGCTTTGAAATGAAGCAGGTGCTAAATTTGTTCCTGGTATAGGGTGGATTTTTGAAAGATGATTAGATATATTGTTTCATTTAGTATCGTTGTTGATAGGTATGATACCATTGGTGATCGATATGATTGATATCATTGAGATTGTTTTATTAGACCCCAAAATGAGACTACTACTGACAATCATTAAAATAATCCTCCCACTTTTCGACCCTTTGTTGCCGATGATGACTAAGAATGCGTTGAATACCATTACCTGTGGGGAATTGTTTTGTCAGCGGAACAAAATAATGCGGTCCGCCAATGTGTTTGTTTGCGAGTGTGTAATACCAAATTACGCTCAAACATACTCCGTAAATGACAGATGATCTTTTGATTTCTACATTTCTTCAAGAACCACTGAGACCGCGCTGTGATTGAAACAGGAAGATGTCAGTTAAATGGGTGTCGACTGGCGCCTCGACGACTGTGATGTTTCGTATGATGATCGAACGTTGAAATCTATCAGCGTTATGAGTCAGCGAAATTTTAAACCAGACTCCATGGTTGCTCTGAGTGAAATTTCTAGGGTAAAGTGTGCGATTAGCATCATTTGTGGTGTAATAAATAAATATTACTAATGGTCACTGCGTTATTCAGAAAAATGGTCAGGACCTCCTTTTTCTTGCAAAAGTGGTAACATGTCTTTCATTAAGCTATTCTATAATTCCCACGTAACGATTTAAATCTATGAAGATCAAGGTACGAACTAAAATTCGTTATACATTTGTTTTGATATTATGTGAGAAATCGTATATTATTATTGTGACTCTCAACGAGATGTTTGACGTATTTGGTGTCAAGGCTTCAAAAGGCTGGTGCCCTATGAATACCATTTCCACTCGTCCGTCGAACTGCAGGTCAGCAGTTGCAATACGTCGCATTTGAAGCTCTCCGTCAAACGTGCTACTCAATGATAAGACAACTCACTATCACCCAAAGACTTGCACGTCAATGACGAGCATTGTTATCATGAAATGTAATTTCCACAAACTTATACTTTACCACATGTTTGGAGCACAGCCTTTACCATACTAACGTTTCCTGTCTTATACAGGAACGGGCAATCTCCCCTGACTAAGCCCCCCATTTCCCCTTAAAATCCAGAAAGGGTGCAACTTGCGCAAGCTAAAATAGGGTGGTGAATAGTGATATCATTCGAAATATGTTCGCCAGAATTTTTCTATCAAATAGCCAAAAATTGTGTTATGTTTAAATTCTTCTCTTCTTATTACTATTTGATGTTTATCTTCTTATTAAATTCTGGTCTATATAAACATCTTTGCTAAGTGACAGGAATATGTTCGAAAGGCTAATTCTTTCCTTTTTCGTTTTGTCTTGTGTTATTAAATCATTCAGTTATTTATTGTATTTAGCAATCATGTGAAATAAATTAAGAAGTGTCTGTGAGTTAACAATTTTCACTTAGGGACGGACAGCACTTTCAACAGACAAGCTTATTAGTCTACAAAACCTTCCAACCTGAACGTAGAAAGTTCAGCCTTTCATGTCACTCTTAAGTAAATCGGATTACAAAATCAAAATTGTTTCCATTCATTTTTTTTTTTAATTTTACTCTCAACTGAGATTTATAAATTGGACTGATGTGTTATTTTATTTTAATGGATCATTTCATTGCCTTAAAGAGAAAATGCGAATTAATATAGCCAAATGTGTGACAATAACTCCCAAGTAACTACTCCCAAAGAATGTCAGGCATCCAGGGACGGACCACTACTCCGGAGGAATGTTAAACCTTTCCTTTTAAATCTCGCGCCAATTTTTCTGGACGCAGGGCCCGCGAGCTCTAGGAATCTTATTATCTTGCCTTGCCCGGGACCTTGCCATACATATCGTACAGTATCAAACAGAGTGGCTAATTATATACTTAGCTACGACTACGCCTACGAGGGTGAGGGATGACTCCTAGAGGTTCTCACGAAGCCTTTGAACTTTCCTTCGAAACCGGGGACAAAGTTCGAGAGCGCTACTCTACCAGGCGCTAGTGCCGCCGGGTACAGTTGCAGGTTAGGCTCGACAACTTCCGCACATAAAAATTGGCTAATTTGTGAGAAATAGGAAATGTATCTTTTAAATGTTCAATTATTCTTCGTATACGCATGTATGAAACCACTGAAGAAAGCGTGAACATCAGCACTACCTTTTGTGACATTACGGGCCTACTTGCGTGCCGAGAACACACGCGGCAGCCACACACATTTTAGATATCAGTGTTTTAGTTTCTGTAAGAAGATGCTGCAGGAGAGCGCGCCACTGTAATGGTTTCCACCACGTTATATGGGTGTTGAAAGGCTCTGGGTTCTCAAGTGACGCGAGATGGAACGAATATGTAGTGAGGGGGTCCCGAAGACGAACATTTCATCGCCTTGCAAAGGGCCCACAATGATAAATTGCAATACTGCATAACTGACTGATGCATTGGTGATTTAGTACCCGTCAACTAATACACGAAGTATTCATCCCCGACTGAATGGTAAAACCCGGCGACGATAAACCTGTCGATTTGCGGGGAAATTACCGCCTGAGCCGGGACAAGCTCTAATCTCCTGACCGGTCTCCCAACCTGTGCACAAGTGTAGTGCATGTAAATGTAAATGTGCGGAAGGGAAAAGAATATGACAAATTAGAGGTAGGAACGCGCGCCGTCTGCTGTCCATCCGGCTACTACATACTATTCTATTGCCGTTACGGGGATGACATATTTTTAATTGTTAATAAAAATGTTTTAGAGGCATTTAACAACTATGACAAAATTAAATTTACTATAGAATGTGAACAGAACTACCTATTAACTTTTTAATCTTACAATCTATAAAAGTAAAAATAAACATTATATGAACTGTTATAAAATAACGCCAATACAGGGATTAAATTACGCGTCTCAAATTGTTGACCCCAGGTTTAATCAACAAAATTTGAAAATGTTCCAGAAGATATTAAAAAGTAATAATTTTCACCAAAATATTAGAAATAAATGCGTAGAAAAATGACGTGAGTTCCAAAAAAACTCCATACAATATTACTAACGATTAAACGAATTACCTTGTTTCAATTTTCCATGTTCTGCCCTTTGGCTGGACAGCCCTATATGGGCCTTGGCAGACCAGTGGCCCAGCCTCTTAACCATGGGATAATGTGTTCGTGGGATTAGCTCGAAGACATCCCTCCAACGCATACTCTGGTCTTCATAAACTTACGGGAACTTTCTCATCGTCACAGTGACAGACACTGGGACATTTGCATGGAAAGCGCACAGGTTGTAATTTTGCCCCGGCCGAGAATCAAACCTGAGGTTGGGCCTCTGAAAGCAAGCACGCTAAACAGCGAGCCTCAGACTTCAATCAATTTGCCATACATTCCCGATTGACAGCCAAACTATCCTTGTGCTTAAATCTACCAAAATGACGGGGAGGCGGGGTAATTATTTTATACACGTTTAAATAATAGGGATCTCGGAATAATAGGAGTCAGTGGTAAATAATCGATAAATATTGTAAACAAACATATTGAAAGGCAGCAACATTTGCTTCTACCTCCCATTAGCCATGATAACCATAGACAGTTTATCGCCGCAGCCAAAGAAAGCTTCCATCAACGACTATTGCGTTCGTACCAGGAAAGAGAGTGGTTGATGATGGAAAGTGTTCGCAGAAAATAAGAGCTTACTCACGTGGACTTAGAGATTTCTGGAAAAATTAAAATTGGTTGAAAGAAAAGTACTCCAGCAAATCATTTGGAACCAATTACGGATAATTTTAAACAACCTATAAAATTTTATGAGTAGTAGTAATAAAAAATTATATGTGAGGTAAAGGTGGTCAGTGATAAAATAATGATATAAGAGCACACATTTGTTTATAGGAACAATATGTACTGATGTATATGGAAAAAACAAAAAGTTACCATCATTACCCTCCATTTCCCCTACTCGCACCTGCAATATCACCTACAAAAACATCAATAGGAAACAATTTGTTTGTAACATAAAAATAAAGGTGCAAAAGAACCTCAAGAAAACAGTATCAGATCTCACACAAAGGTTGCAATTAAAAATATGTCGACCAGAGAAAAGGAAACTCGCCATAAGAATAAGGGAACATAAAAATAACATCACAGAATTGCAAAATATGCAAAATTCCTTCACACAACATAGATTGGATGAAAATAATGAGATAAACTTTGTAAATATAAATATTTTGGACAATAAAGAAAGTAATTTCCCCAGGCTATAACAGAAAATTTATAAAAAGTTTAATAAAAAATAAATACAATGTTAGAAAGTTCACAAATTACATTTGTAATAATTTACTAATAAGAATAAATAGTCACATACATAAATTACAAAGTACATGTACAAACCTCCACATTAAATGGTCAGCGTTTTATTCTTAGAACCCCCCCTCCTTCCGAAACCCCATTCCACTCCCGGCTCTCAAGTAACGTTATACTTACTCTTCTGAGCTGACAACACTTGAATTCATAATCCAAACGCGAACACGCACAGATGGTCCGATACTATTTTTTTCCATAGTGCGACTGTTGGTTAGTTCTTTGGCTTTGTTAGTATTTGATTCTCGACATGACATGGTCCTCTTATATTGGACTAATACATTCTACATTATTTTACGAAATTTTATACTCCAAACGTACGTAAGGTAAGTTTTTGCCTGCACTTCATGCATTTTCATGAACGCGTTGTACTTATTCCTTACCGTGTGTATTATTTTTGAGAACTATTCATTTATCTATTTAATAAACATTTAATGTGATATTTTATTCTTGTTTTTATATTTTTAACTTGACATATTTACATTTTCCATTTATTGTAGCTTTGGGAATGAGACCGAATAAGGTCTCGAAACGTTTGCTGTAACAGTGATATTAATAAATCTGAAAAGAAAAATTGACTTTCTTTAATAATCCCAGGATCATTCTCTTAAGGAAAATTTTTGAAAAAGTCTAGGAAATCAACTTATAGAATGCTCGTGTAGTGTTATTTGAAAATATCTAAACATAAAGAAATTTAAATAGTAATTCCACGAAGGCTACCGATATGTCCTGGGAACAATAACATATTGCAAATGTTTCGCGGGACGAATTTTGGGAAACGTTACTCTATTCATAACTGATTTTGAGTGACACGCACAAATTAAGTTATCGTTTAGCTTGTATCTCTTTCATTAATCTTAACGTAACGCCTTTAATCTACTTGTAAAATCAGAAATGACACAACAGTGACTTTTTAGACTGATTGTAAACGTTGTCTTATATGCCAAAATTCATAAAACCGTGAATAAAAATGTGATCATACATCTCCAATAACAATTATTTTAATGATTAAAGAAGTTTTACTCCATAGTTTCCCGTATGTCTATTTGGATTCTACGAATTCGTTCGAGAGTTGTGATTTTTGTAACTGTCTATAGTGAAGTCTTTTGCGTTAACTATAAATCTCATAGGTCTCCAAAATTCATAAAACGCCAAAAACAGAGCCACTCTAATTCCCATGCCAGTAAACTTTGTTTATCAGTTTCCCATTTCCCGTTCATATATATCATTCGTTTTTCGCTGGAAAACTGGTCTCTCAAAGTTCGTTCTTTTTACTCCAAGTTATCACACAAGGACATTTTCCTCCGATGTAATGACCTTACCAACAGAACCTGCAGGAGCATTTCGCACTTGGTGAAGAATAGTTTTAGGTGCGAAAATTGAACCTGTAGAATCAGCGTTAGTGGTTGGTCTCTAGTGGATTGAAGTGACTCAATTAATTATTTACTCCTCTAGCTTTGATTCATTAATGTAGAATATACGATAGATGCACAGAATGGCACATTTAGTGGGGGGAAAGGCAAATATAGAGGGGAAAGATCGCTCAGGATGTCAACTGAAGTCACTGCAGTGCCTCTGGGTTCAGGGCCTCAAGTACTATCGAGTCCCGACAGGGGCAGGATTTTCGACACTAGCTACATAGCTAGGTAGTGTTCAGACGCTACCTGGAGGAGAATACGAGCGGTCGGCTGCCCTGATCCTTAGTTTTCCGTGGTTTCTCTGATCAACGCCAGGCGACTGCTGGAGTAGTACACTAACACGAAACGCGCGCGATATTTTCTTCTTCTTCCTTGTCATGACTTCACCCTTTACTTAAACGCACTTCACTGCCACGTGTAACGAAAGACCGGTCTGTAATTATGAGCTTGACCCGGCTGGGGCGGTGCCCAGCTGGTCGGAGATACCTGGTCAGGGAAACCCCGCTAGCCGACGTTAGGTTGGATAACAGGGAAATACCTAAATCGTGGATAACATTTGTTGTCCACAATTAGATCTGTAATTAATGCCACGTTCATTGTTTTGAAAGTATTATTGGTTTCGTGCAATTTTTAGTGAAACAGGCAATATTTAAAAAAAATTAAAATAAGATTGTCTCAAAACCTGCTCAAAATTTTATCTTCGAACATTTTATAGGGATAGTGCTAAGTGCACTAAATAACGTGTCATAAATGTAATCTCGATGTATTTATTAGTTTACAAAATTAAAACAATTTTAATTCTTTTGAAATATCTCGCATCGTTAATATATGCAATACATGCGTTTTTATCTTTTTTTGCATCTGTGAGTAGAATGTAGTTAATTATCTATGGAATTTTTCGAACACTCAGAAGTTTTCGGTGAAAAATGCTGAAAATTGCGCATTTTCAGTAACGCTCAAACGACATTCTCTGACAAACGGCCAAAATGTGTCTACGAAAATTTGGATGTATCACTAGTTTCATTCTTCTGTAATAGTCTTAAAGGAACATCATTTGAAAAAGGAGTCGTCACCGTGCGTAAAGGACATTTTCACGGGGTGACATCACGGTGTAAAAATACTTTAATGTACGGTAGATAGTTTTGAAGAGAAGTAAAAAAGTAAATCGCGTTTTAACAACAAAGCAACTTCATTATTATTAAACTTTGCAATAAGTTAGAATATAATGAATTCTTATCATCTACTTAGCATATAACACATAATATATTATGATGGAACAGAAAATTCACTTATTGAAACTAATGAAAAAAACTCGTAATTAAAAACAAAAATATTAGTAAACTCGTTGGTATCTTTCTAAGAGTGATAGTAAAGGACATTTATGTCTAACGCTTCTTTCCTTGTCATTAAAATAGTTTCACAAAATATTTTTAGGGATCTTAGCAACTTCCCTAGTTTTACACTTAATTTCTCATCTCGAAGTAAGCTTTTTTGTAAATAACTTTTAATTTAGAGTTCTAAATCAGATGCTGCAAAATGTTCAGTTTTGAGCAATTTGACCTAACGTCTCACCTAAAAAACTGAATCTCGATTGTGTAAAAGAACAATTATTTCACACGCTAAATATAAAAATAACCAAGGAGGCAATAGATGGTAGCTTGGAAGAGGGTGAGGCAAAACCGAATAGTTAGTACAGGATAGAGAGTTTAGAAAATAACCAGAGAGATAAAGTCTCTGCCATTCTGTAGCATGTCGTCATTCTGCAACCTTCCTCATTTTGCCATGAGGAAAGTCGCATTATGACAGTATGACGAACCAAACGTTGGCAATTTTGCCGCGTCTCCTCAGCACGTAATTGTCTATTCCATTTATCTTGTATCCGCATTTTATAAACTAGTATGATGAGGTCCACTTCATACTCGTACCCAACCAGATTCTTGTGATATAGGCATTCTAAATTGCTCATTATCATTATCAGTCGCACCATCTCAAACCCGAAGAATGAATTACAGTTCTGCACAAATTCTTTAATATTTCACTTGACATTAAATTAAACATTTTGTTTAAGAACACATAATGTAGCGTCGTTTTTGACACAACCTTGTAAATTTTGCTCTACTACGTCACCTTGTGGAGGGGGCGGACTGACCATGAATTACTACTAGGGTGCTCGCTCGAACTCTTCACTTTAAGTTTCGCCTCTAGTGTCGTAAATTCAAGCGTTCTGCGCACACGGCGGGATGAGGAATGGCCGTTAAGGATTCGCTTCGCCATCTGAACGAATAGGTGTCATGTCAAGTGTGATAGCGTTGCAAATATACGTAGACAATAAACATGAACTTTCTAGGCTATTATTCGTTGTACTATAGTTGTACGTATTTACTACAAACAAACGAACTGAATGTTTATGGGAAAGTCAATAATTAATATTATTCAGATTTCTCCCTAAAACTATGGATTAGAAGAAAGTTGATAACTCTTTCCGAATCAACAATGTTCCTTTTTCATTAGTAATATTTAGCAGATTCACTTCGTTTCTTTCACCTTCTAAATTTGCAGCAGGAATATAAAATATACTCGCATTTCTCGCCAGCCGCAGGAAAATTGCCCTTTCCATTTTCACTTTTTCACATATTTTAATCGTTGATTTGTAGACGTTTCAACTTCACAGCATCTTTTATTTTGCTTTTCACACTTGAAATTGAGACTCGATTGGTCTGGGACACAAGTACCGAAAGTCAGTCTCTCGGTTCTCTTGATCGAGCCTTCACTCGTCGATGCGAATTCTTAGCTATTCGTCTAGCGGATGTGGTTTGAACGACCATGGAGCCCGTGAAAAATCGTCTCCTGTATGATTACTAATTACTACCTTTGTTCCTTACAATACTCATATTTCTGTTTGTAAAAACTAAATTTGTTGAAGAGATACGAAGGAAAATCAGGACATAAAGTGCTCTCAAACGTTATATCTTACAATGTAAACAACGATGAATTTTTGATCCCACTCGTGGCTTGTTCAGAAACGCGGTAGCATTTGTAAATATTTTTTCATACGGAAGACATAATTTCATCGCTCCCCTGTTCATCGAAATGCTCGTGTCTTCTTCTACAGTCAACATCACAGTTCTTTAGAACACACTGATAGTATTTCGTAATATAAGGTCTCATGCCTTGCTTTTCAGCTTTTGTTCTAATCTCAAGTGCAAATACTATCATCAGTCTTTAGGTAGACATATTCATCAACAGTTTCAATAACAATCTTACACGCTTGCATATTTTTAAACGACATTAAAGTAGGAGGGTTCCTGACTATCGCAAGAGACACAGGCGCTTCGTTTGAATTGGGTTTGGATTATTTTAGTATTATTTATAATACGTTACATTTAAAAACTGAGTAACAAATTTGTACACATATTTTAGCTTTCATTTCATTTTACTACCTATGCTACCTTGGGGAACAATGAAGCGTTGGAAATTTGAGTAGTTCATTGTTGAATAGGGACAAGATTAGATAGAGAAATGTGAAATTCTTTTGAATTCTACTCTTTGTTGAACATTGACATGAAACCATTATGAGGCTTTGTTTTATTAATTTATTTGTTTGTTTAACGTTAAAAACAGAAGAACTCAATGTGACGTACTATGGGGAGAAATTCTAAGAACGTTCTTTAATTCTGGTATCTTTACCCTCACCCGTACACATGTTGAATTCTGAATACAGATGGAAACGAAACGTTTGTTCTTCGATTACTAATGAGAAGTTAAGTTGGGGAAATTTTCTTGTGTGTGAAAACGTACGGAGCATTTTGCATTATATGTTCAGGCAAGGAGTAAAGTGTAATTCGTGTAACGTATGATTCGTTCATTTAAAAGAAAGTGAAACATTTAAGAATGAACTCAAAATATCT